TTCTGGGCTTCTCAGAGTCCTCTGGGAACGGCAGCTGGGGTCACTTAGATGTTCTGAATGTTGGCCAGTGGACACTTGGTTGTACTCTAGTGACTCGAGTGCATTTAGAACCCTTGTGGCATGGGGCTTTATCAAATTGGGAGTTAGAGGTGAACAGAGAGCATTAACTGCCCTCGGAACCTACAGTCTCGACAGAGCAGTCATGCAGAGGATAAATTTCTAGTGGCAGAATGGGAAACACTAGGAGCTGTGAGGGCAGGTGAGATGGGAACCTAAGCCAGGAAGGCTTCCTGGAGGAAAAGACTTCTGAGTGAGGCTAAAGGAAGCATACAAGTAGAAAGGGTTTTTTAGGTAGATGGAACAGCATGTATTTCCAGAGCTGAGGGAAAGGCAGGGCTGCTGGAAGTACGAGGGATGCCTGAGGGCTCAACCCAGGTCCAGGCTGCAAGCTGAGTGGGGAACCTGGAACCCGAGGAAAAAGAGCCCCTGAAGAATCTTCCAGACTGAGACACCTGGGGTTTACTCTCTGGAAACACAGAGGATCTCTGTGAGTTCAAGGCCAGTCTGATCTACATAGTGAGTTCCAGGCCAGCTGGGGCTAAGGACCCCCCCCCCTCAAAAAGCACTGTTATTCAGGAAGTTTCATTTCTGTTCCATCATTCCATCCTGCCTATCTCTCTCCATCTAGCCACTGTGGAAAGAGACATTTTTCCCATCCTCTCTTCCTCCTTTCCTGCCCCTCTCTCTTTCCTTCCCATCCTCTCTCCCTCCCTCTCTCTTTCCCATTGATTGATTGATTGATTTTGTGTGTGTGTGTGTGTGTGTGTGTGTGTGTGTGTGCACATACATTCCATTGCATACGTGGAAATCAAAGGACAGCTTATAGAAGTTTCTCTCCCACCATGTGGGTCCTGGGCTTGGAGGCAAGTGCCTTAACCCACTGAGCCATCTCCCTAGCATTTTCTTCTATTTTGGACAGTCAATATGGGCTTTTACTTGGAGGCTCCCGCTCTGATTACTACCCAGGCATCAAATTGAGCTTTACATGGGTAAGCACTGTCCAACCCAGGATTCTTGGATTGGGCTTCCAGCTCTGCTTCCTCACAGGCTTTGTCCCTGTGGGAGGGAAACCACCAGAGCCGCAGCTGAGATGTGGCAGTGAGGTCAGGGACCTGCATCAGACAGCCCATCATCATGCCCCAGACAGAGATGGTATCTATGTGGCAGGTGAGCCTCCACTCCCCTTCCTAGGACCATGACAGACATTACTAATCAATTGCATCACTTTCACAATGAGTCAACCCAAAGCTGCAGACAACCACGAAGAGTTGACTTGCTCTTCTTAACCCAGACAGGATCTGAAGGTCAGGGTGACTCTGACTCAGAAGGCAGGCAGGAGGGTAGTGGTCAGAATCCATGTGGGGATTTCAAAATTGGTAAGGTAATGGGCAGGGTAGGGCATGGCTAGGCTGACAAGGGAGGTGGTGACTCACATTCATTAGAACTTTAGTTTACAGAGTGCTTTCTCTAAATGCCCCTTACTCTTGAGGTTAAATGACTCACTTCTGTACTGCAGATGAGGCAATAGAGAAGACCCAGAGAAAGGAGGTGCACCTGGTGTCACCCAGCATTCTGGTCCATATGGCACACACTTTCTCTGAGCCTCAGGAGTGCAGGTAGCTTGGGACTTGAGGTCAGCTTCTCTTCTGAAATGTCACTCTAGAGCTGAGACTCATGAGAACGATGGGTGGCATGCAAGGCCTGCTGCGGTGGTCTAACCACTGGCTGGGGCACAGGCTTGGGAGACCAGGGCAGGGGACGTTTGTTGCTTTCTGGGGCACACAATGCTGCCACTTCATTTTAAGTTACCAGCTTGTCAGTAATACAGATTGAGATGCCCACGGCCTTCTCTGGGTTAGGAGTTGACTCTACCTTACCCACGACAGTCCAGAGAGGGGTTGTTATGACTTGAATATGAAATGTTGCCCATGGGGTCTACTGAATGCTTTGTCTCCAGTTGGTAGCCCATTCCCCCCGCCCCTCGTTCCTGTCTCCTGCCACCTGCTTTTGCCACCATGATGTTCAGCCCAAGCACATGGGGCCCAGTGACTGTGAACTGAAGTCTTTCAAACTGAGCAAAATAAATCTTTCCTCCTCTAAATTGTTCTGTCAGGTCACAGAGATGAGAAAAAGCAACTGACAGGATGCACATTGTGTGCCCCCCACCCCCGATTCCCCACTATGGCTTGGTGTTCAGCTGTCCATAATGCTATGAACTACTCAGGAGCTACTCCTTGCCTGGGTTGGCCTTCATTGCTGTTGCTTGAGAAGAAAGGGTCCCAGAATGTTACTGGCACACAGGACCATGGGGAACTCTGGGTAGGAATCTGACTTCCAGCTCCTTGGTCTTTCATCTCTGTCTCAGTAACCAAACCTGCAGCCAAACACCTGGTGAGCGAGAGCCTCAGGAAGGTATAAAAGTGGGAGGCAGTCCTTCTTCCAAGATCCTGCTGGGAACCCCATGGCCAGGCTGGGCAGATGGAAGAGGTGATGGTGGCTTTCCAGGAGAGGCTAGGACTGTGCAGGGAGCCGGGCCACCTCTGGCAGAATGGGGAGTGTGAACAGCAGTCACCTGATTGTTTGCATTCTGTGTCACATTCAGGGTCAGAGAAGGCTCAGTTCCATCACATACAGATGTGCTGGTATGGCCCAGGAAGTGCAGCTCAAGCCTTGGGAATGCGGATGGGAGCTGGCACCCCTGCCTGTCCACCTCACTGCCCCTGCCAGACCAAGCAACTGCTCTGTACCCTGAAGCCCTTTGAAGTGTTGAGCAGCAACATTCTTGGAGTGATTGGCTTAGGAAACTGGGCTTGATTTTATGACTGTGAAGAACAGCAGCTGCCACCTAGTGTCTAAGCAGTGTCAGGACTCTGGCTTGAGCTGTGGGAACCAAGGCAATTGGTAGGGCTGATTCCCTCAGGGTTGGGCTCAAAAGGGCCTATGGTAGACTATGGTGGACAGATGGGTCACCCTGTCCTGATTCAGAAGGTTATCTCATGTGGCTGGAAATACTAGTTATTCAAAAGAAACTCAATCCTTTAAATGATGTTCTTTTGGGGGGGGTTCTTTTTTGAGACAGGGTCTCTTTGTAGCCCCAGCTGGTCTTGAATTCACAGAGATCCTCCTGCCTCTGCCTCCTGAGTGCTGGGATCAAAGGCATGTGCCACCATGCTGGGATAATGCTGTTAATTTTTTAAAAGACCTAAGAGCTAGGGTTGTAGCTCAGTAGTAGAACACTTGTTTAGCATACACAAGCCTGTGTGTTCCAGCCTCAGCACTAGAAAACAGAGACATCTAAACATACATCAGGTGGCCCCTGGTCTTGAGTTAACTCCTTAGAGAGCTATAGAAGTTCTTAACTTACCTCTGGCCTCCAGCTGTCCCTAATGCCCACTCTGCCAGCTTGAGGCTCTGCCTACCTCAGCAACCTCTACTCTAGTACAAGCCATTTCTCCACTTGCCACGAGGCAGCAGCTAACCCTCACTTGTTGCCTCCTGAATGGTGTCTCTGCTGTGGTCCCTTCTTCCATGTGCTTGCCCACCTAACTCTGGCTTATCATGTCCACCCAGCATGCCTGCTATCCTTATTTGTAGTATTTCAAGGATCCCCACACCTGGACCCCCTTTCAAGCATATCCTTCCTGCTCTGCCTCATACATGTAGCCAATAACTGACCATTTTAGCCAGCTCTCTCATCACCCTAGCCCACCCCTCAAGTGTCCACAGGCCACCAAGACATACAGTTTTGGGTTCTTATCACCTGTTCCCAGCTCCCCCTCACCTACTTTACTCCTTGGCCCTCTGTTGCTGCCCTTCCCTGCGGCCACCTCAGCTCTTATTGGAGTGGGACTTAACTGTCCCCTGCCACAAGACTGCACCCAGCTAGCTGCCTGGCCTCCAAGATACTCATGCCACTAACCTTAGGTGGAACCTGAAGCTTCCCAGATGCACAGCACTGTCCTGGCACAGCCTTGTTCCACTCTGAGCCCCATTCTCTTTTGATCACAGTGCAAACAGCAGCAGCACTGACTAGATATGTCCACAGCACCAGCCTCCCCAGGCCTGTGTCCAGATGCTGGCTCCCCTCATCTCTAAGAACAGGCACCCTGTTCTGTCCTTATCCTCAGAGCATCTAGTCCCTCCCATAAGCCAGAGACCAAGGCTAGGGTGCAGCTCAGTGGTGCAGTGCTTGGATAGCATGTGTAAGGCCCCAGGTTCCATCCCCAACTATCACAAAACAAGACAATGCTGAAATCCATGGCACTCCTTGATCTTTTATTCCAAATAAAAGTCCAAATGTCCTACTGGCCTGGAAGGCTCCAAACCCTGGTCCTAACCAACCAGGCCTTCTGGCTGCTGGAACCCACACTCCGCTGCCACTCTGGGGACACTGCTCTGCTTCTCCATCATGTCCTCTAGCTAATCCCAAGACTTTCTAGACTCTTTTGGCCCCTCTGTTTAAAACTGTGGTGGTGATAGCTGCCTATCATTGCAAATGTATAATTAATGCTATTGAGTTGAACAGTTCAAGATGGTTGACAGGTAGCATGCTTTAACACTCCCCACCCCCAGAACAGACTGTGTACCTAGTCTTCACTTTCTCCCCAGTTTATTCATCGCATGTCATCCTGCTCACTATGTCCCCACCCTGATACCTGTAAGAACACAGGAGGGTGTTCAGCCATCACCTGTTGAATGCCTAACTCATGGTGCCATCACACTTAATCCCCCTTCCTCTGTTTTCTGAAAGCTGACCCAGCCTCCCAGTTTGAGGTATCACAGGCTGAGAAACTCAAATATCTTCTACTGTTTTTCATTTCATTTCATTTTAGTATTTGGGGCTTCCTTTTTTTTTTTTTTTTTCCTTTTTTTTTTGTGTGAGAAACTCAAAGTTCTTTTTCTTTTTTTCTTTTCTTTTCTTTTTAGTTTTTGGGGCTTCCTTTTTTTTTTTTTTTCTCCTTTTTTGAAATAAGGACTGTGTAATCAAGGCTAGCCTGGAACTCCAGATGTAGCTGAAATGTCTTTAAACCTGTGATCCTTCTGTTTCTACCTCCGGAGTGCTGGGACACTACCAGGAAAATGAGCTGGGACAATAGTGAGGAGGGGCAGTCAGCACATCTTCTAGGGTGGCCTCCAGCCCCTGCAACCACCAGCAGCTCAAATGTCATGGACATCTTGAAAGTGGACCTAAAAATGTCCCCCAAACATGATTTATCCTGCAAACACTAATGCTGTGAGTTCCTCTGGCCTCTGAGTCCCCAGGGCAGCCTGTCAGGGGCAGGAATGAATATAGGAAGATGTGCACAGCAAGCAAACGTTTCAGCCATCCTGGCATTTGGAGTCATCTTATCTCTGAGCTCTGTTCTATCATTTGTAAATGGGGACAAGAACCTTCCCATAGCGGGGCAGGAAAATCGTGCGAGGTTACCAAAGCAGAGCTCAGAGCACAGGATTTGTTTTCCATTCCAGTGTCTTCCAACCTAGAAATCACAACCATCCTGAGACATGCATTCTTCAGCTATGCCTCCAGAGGGCGCCACCACCACAGCCCTGAGCAATCTGCACCCAAGTCAGACTACTAGCCTTTGAGCAGTGAGGCCAATGTCATTTTGCAGATGGAGGGAACCCCAAAGATCAGGCAGCACCCTCTATACACACAGGTAGCCTTCATCTCCCCATTATCCAGGGAATCTGAGCCATTATGTGCAGCCCAGCACCCAGAGCATTTGTCTGCCTATGTAGTCCCTTCTCACTGGGCTACACAAACTCACAGATGGTGCAGTGCATAGGTGCAGCCAGGAGCTCATGGCTGGCTGTTTGCATCCTCAGGCTGGCATCTTGGTGTCTCCAAAAGGAAGGTGAGGAGTGGGGAGATGCCTCAATGTGCTCACAACAGTGGGACAACTACCATCCTCTGGCTACCTGGTATTATATCTAAACTTCCCTCCATGGACAGCTGCCTTCTCTGGACACCTGATTCCCAATGCTAGGCACCCTCTTACCCCTTGCCTTGGCCACCCTACCTGTGAACTAAGGGGTTCATGAAAGCTTGTCCCACCCCATGGCCTGAGGTCAGGAGCAGGGTGAGTTCCCATAATGCAGGTCAGAGGCCACTTGCTGACCTGGTTCGCTGGCACCCAGGCATCCCTGGGCCATGGTGACACTGCCTTTCCAGAACAGGCATGAAACTGCTGAGGGAAGTCTCCTTGGGGCAGGTAAGGTGCACCACCTCTGAGGGGCCCTCTGCTCCCCAACCAGAATCTGTAGGGAGGAGGGCACTGGGCTGTAGAGTTTCTGCGTGTACTCCTAGAGCAACGTTATACCTAAAACCCACTGTGGCTCAACAGATTCCCAGACAGATATAGTATAGACCCCCCTGACTCTTCCCCCTGCCTCACCCCAGTCTAGCATGCCTTTTTGACCCATCTGTCTGGGGCAAATAGGCATGGTGGCAGGTCACTCAGAGCATTGGGCAGCATGGCTCACAAATCTACTTGCTACCAGGACACATTAACTTGGGGTTCATGTTAGCACCCTCAAAACCTCCTCTTTCTCAGGTATGGTGGTACACACTTGTAGTCCCAGTGACTAGGGAGGCCACAGAAAAATGTTCTCTTGAGGCCAGGAGTCTGGGACTATCATGAACAATCCCATCTCAAAGCAAGTAATTCCCCTGTTCACTGCTGGCTAATTGATGAAGGGAATGTGTATCCTGGGACAGTGAGTATAGTTCAGCTCAGAGTGCTGGAGTCACAGTCCTACCCTCATGGGTCTCATAAGTCACCAGTGTGCTTTAAGATTTGCACTATGACAACCTCAGCAAGCAGGTGTCCTGAGACTGGAGCAAAAGGATGCACTGTTGGGACTGCTCATCTGTGCACAGGAGGCTGAGTTTTGCTCTGGGCCTGCCCTCCAGTATGGTGGTAGTATTCAGGTCACTGAGTGGTGTCTCTTCATCTCCTTGGCTCCCATACTGGTGGCCTCATCCACAAGCTTGTTCCCACCTGGCCTCCCCTTGCAAAAGTCCAATCCTGTACACCTCACGGCTGGGTACAATCACACTAGTGTCTTTTTATTGGACTTTCCATGGCCAACAGCGATACCTTGAGCTGCCATTGGCTCCTCAGTCTCAGCCCTCTCGACCTATGAGGAGAGGGTGTGCTAGCTCAGAGTGGCCACCCTGAATGGTGTTTTTATGATCTTACCACAACTTGGTCCCTGGGCCTTGGGCTCAGGCTGCTTCACTGAGAAAAGCCTACTGCCTCCCCCTGTGCCAGGCTAACCAGCCTGAGAGTCCTGGGCAGTGGGCTCTGGCCTAGGTCCCCCAGCATCGCTTGCTCATTTAGGGCCCTATCAAACCTTCACAGCACAGCATAAAGTAGTAAGCTCCAACCTACAGCTTGGTGTTGAGGTGGAAGAAGTGAGGTGCTGCATAGGTTGTAACAGGTGGCATGTGCCAGGCAGATGAAGCTGGGCCCAGTCTGTGGCGGAGGGCACTGTCGAAGGATGTGGGAGGGAAGTGCATCAGGCTGGTGGCCATGGGTGAGGGCCCTGTTGTGGCCAGGAAATGGGCTGGGAAAGCTGGGATGACCAAGGGGCTGAAGGGAAGTGCAGCCTGGCCCTTCAGAGGGTCTGGGGTACTGGTGAAGTTCAGAGGGCAGCGCAGCATGGTGCCTCTGTAGGCCTCCGGGGAGTTGGGCCCCAAGGCTGGGCCCAGCAGGCAGGACATGGCCAGACCAGGCACTGCAGGCTTTCCTCCGGACTCCTTGGCATCCACCTCCTTCAGAAAGGGAGATACTGCCCGCAGTTTTTTGCCACCATGAGCAAAACCCTCTTCTTCTAGGCTGCGCTTGTTGCCAAGGCCTGGGTTGCTGGGGATGGTGGGCCGGGCCACAGGGTTCTCAGCAGGGACCTTGGCCATGGGGGACACCCAGCAGGCTTTGGGCTTGGGGTAGAAGCTGCTCTTTCTGGAGCCACCTTTATGGAACGCAGAGGGGCGGTTGGCATCCCCACCCCACACCAACTGGGGCTCTTTGGTCGACAGCCCCTCCTCTTTACCAGGAGGTCCCAGCGGCACCCCATCTTTAAGGCTGGAGAAGAAGTCTTGAGGGTGCTGGCTGACAGGCTTCAGCACCTCTGTGGGGCAGGCATGAAAACAGCCTGTGAAGGTGGGGGCTGCTGGGCAGGGGCCCACCTGTACCTCCACTCTGGTGCTGCCACCAGGGGCCTGCAATCCTTCCTGGGGGGTGAGCCGGTGTCCAGAATTCTCAGCTGGCCCCCTTGGACTCTGGGGACTTTCTTGGGTATCCCTGTCAGGGCTCCTTGCCCCGTGGCGACAGCCTTCTTCCTGGCACTGCAAGGCCTCTGCCTTGCTGACCTGGGCCAAGAGCTTCTTTTTGGCTAGTGGTGACATGATGCCATGCGTCCCTTTGCAGTAGAAGCTGGACAAGAGCCGCTTGTAGGCCTCGGGGCAGCCACTAGCACCCATGAATGGCAGAGAGGGCCCAGAAGCTGGGCCCAGCTGTTCCATGCTGTCCCTTGAGGGTCCCTGACTGGGAAGCTGTGTCAGGACAGGGGTATCTGTTTTGGTCTTTCCTGCCACAGTCTGGAATGAGAGAAAGTCATGCCTCAGGGTTGGGTGTGGGGTCACACATCTAACCTGGGGGACCTGGAAGCAGCAGGGCCTCAGGGACACTCAGGAGCTCCTGCTGGCCCTTGCAACACCTTTGAGCAAAAGTTTATCAAGGTGCCCTGTCTTGAGTGGACATAGCATAGTCTACAGTGTTTGGCCAGCAGGTGTGATCTGGGCCTCAGAGAACCCAAAGCCCCACCAGCTCCTACCCTTGCAGCAGGATCCAGATGTTCCAAGCAGGGACTTAGCAGCCACTGCCAGGGCAAACATGGGAGCTGTGAGGGTGGCCTCATTATGCAGTGCTCACCTGGTCCACCTGCCTCTCTTCCTTGGCCTTCTTTGGCTTCTCAGTGGTCCCATCATCCCCCCTCAGCTCTTTGGCCATCTTGTATTGTTTCCTGGGCTTGGAGGGGGGCAGTGGTTTGTCATCCTCTCCCTTCAGGTGCCGCACATATGGGAGGACCAGCCTGGGGAGGAACCATGTGTCCACCAGAAGGCCAGCCTCTTCCGGGCTTCCTCTAACCCCCTCTGGCTCCTCACCACCATCACTGCCAGAACTCCCTGTTCTGTCCCCACAGCTGCCCGCTCCCTCCTGCCAGTGCACCCAGCAGGCTACAGCAGCCCAGACAAGGACACAGCCTAGCTTGTGGCACATACACCCTGCCCCCTTCTCTAGACACAAATAGCACACCTATCCACATACTGTCGTTGTACCCTGCACTCCCATACCTCTCATAATGGCGGCGAGTGCATGTGGCTGCACTTGTGCTGCCCGGGCTGCCCCCCAGCTCATCATATACATTCTTCCAGAGGCGGCGGCCAGTCACCTGAAAGGCACCAGTGATGATGGGCCGATGGAAGTCCCTGGTCATGGGCTCTCTCAGCTCTACTCCTAGTCATGGGCCTTCTCAGTTGTAGCCCCCCTTGCAGAGATGGGGGCTACAACTGTAGTTTCCAGGTTCCTTCTCCAGCCCTGGACAGGATGCTGACGAGGGCTACCAGCACCTGCCAGCTCTCCCTCCCAGGGGCCATCTGACTGCTAGCCCAAGCAGGTTTGGAGCAGGAGAGGGTAGAACAGATGGGGAAGAGAGAAAACCTGCTTAGAGCAGCAAAGTACCAGGCCCCTCCTCCCATAGCATGCAGGATGGGCCTAGGGATCCTGATCTTCCTCCTGTCTATAGACAAGTACAGCTCTGCTGGCCATGCCTCTCTCTATCCCTGAGGCTGGGACATGCAGAGATGTAGCATGGTGAGGATTCAAGAGTCCCTCCTTACCAGCTCGTAGGCCCCCAGCTTCTCCACTGCTTTGTAGATCTTCCACAGGTTAACTGAGGGAAAGGGGCAGGATATACTGTCAGGTTCTGTAGCCTACAAACTCCCAGACAGGACCAATGTGATGGATGGGGCAGATTGGCCCAGTGGCCAAGAGGATGGAAACCCAGCTCCACCCTTTGCCTTCAGGGAGGCATCCTTTCTCCTAGCAACCCCTGTAGGCTGGCAGCATCCTGGGTCACCAGGAGCAGAGGTGCCTGCTTGTTGCCCTGTCTGGGTGGGGTCCCCTGCCAGCCTCCCCTGAACCTGCCCCCCAGGGACGCACTCTGCTTGAAGCCGAGATGGGGCACCCTCTCGATAGGCGTGTGACGCTCCTTCATGAACTTGTAGAGGCTGACCAGGAAGGCCTGCTCCTCCTCCCGCTCCCCGCCTGCCTCAGGGGAGTCCTGGGGAGAGAACAGGAGGTGTGGATGGACCCCAGTTGAGCTGGACACTGTGGACACTACTCCTGTGGAGAGGAAGGTGTGTCTGGTCCCTAACCCCAGGCTCCTTGGGAGCACACAGCTTCCTGCCCTGGGTCACACTGGTATAGCTGTGAGCTTAGTGCCCAGGCTAAGGGGAGGGGCAGGGTCTAGAGCCTGCAAGTTCAAGGCCACCCCGAACAGGAAAGCAGCTACAGGAGTAGCCCTGCTTTCTCCAGGCCAGGATTGCTCTTGTATCTCGCTTTGATCTGTTATATCTCCATCTTAGTGCCACCAGACCAAGTTCCTGGAAGGCAGGATCAGTGTGCCCAGAATCAGGAGTAAAGCTAAATACACAAAGGTACTCCGTGTTTCTGGCACCATGAGTCCTGTCTCTCTGACTCAGCAGCTTGCAGCTCCCCTCTGTTAGTTTGCTAGGCAAGTGGGAATGTCATTTAGCATGACAGACTTGTGTATATTTGTCTCCTTTGTGAGTGGAGTCTAAGTTAATTGATTTGCAGACAAGTTTCTGCTACAAAATTGAGTGAGTTCCTACCTTGCCTAGCACACTCAGATCTTGCACTTCCAATATGGGGCCCCAGGTGGCTCTGCAGCATGGGGACAGGAGTTTGAGGTATCTTGGGTTCCCCTGGAGACTTGAGCCCAGGCTGAGGCAGACAGGGAAGAGGCCCTAGGAGTAGTTCAACTCACCTCCAATTGGATGGGGCTCTGGCTCCTGCTCTGTGCACCATCAGGTTTAGGGGACACAGGGAGCTCTAAGTCACCCTCCTCAGGCTGTTTCCCTTTCCCTTTGACAGGGGGTGCTGCTGGAAGAGAGGAAAGAAAGAGGAGAGGGCAGGTAAGATGTGGGTAGGATGAATTGGGCTAAGGAATGGGCCCCTTACCCCTAGTATCATCAGCCAAGAGAGGGCTAAGTCCTTCCATTCCTTCCGGAATGTCCTCTGCTTGCCAGTCCTGGGTGCCACATTCAGGCTGTGTCCTCTAAATAAAACACACACACACACACACACACACACACACACACACACACACACACACACACACACACACACACACACACACACACATGGGCTCAGCCTGGCCTGGTAGCTGCCCTTTTCTCTCTTTATTGTAAGGGTCAAGTTTGAAGAAGCTGGAAAGGATGTGGCACAGGGGACATTCTCTCTCTCAAATCTGCCCACATTCGGGCAGAAAGCAGCACAGGACCTCAGCTGAGTGGGGATGCTGCCAAGCCTCCATCTGGACAGTAGTTTCTCTAAGCATATACCAGAAGAGAATTGTGCTGGACCAGGAGAAAAGTAGCCTTTCCCTGAGCATAGGCAGACCTTAATTGCCCCTGTGTAGGGCCTTAGGCCCATGCTGCCCTCACTTGCAAGGCTCCTGAGGTCAATTCTCTGATGACAAATACCTTCCTCTGGGTGGCCTTTCCCAGCCCAAGCCAGCCCCAGCAGTTCTGTTCCTCTCTCCTGTCCATCATGACTTAATTGCCAGTTACTGTCTAACTCCCTGACACCTTGTGAGGCCTCCAGCTCCCATACAAGACAGATGCCAGAGAAAGGACAATGATGGAGGCTCAAGCCTGACAGGACCACATACTCCACTTTAGTCCGGGAAGCCCTGAGCAAAAGGATGCAAAAGCACAACACACTGGCCACTGCAAAAATCACAACCCAAACTGTCCTAAGCCACAAGGCAGGCTGGCATCATATATGGGACCAAGAACTCATACCTTTTATTGATTGATTAATTAGGACAAGGTCCTCACTATGTAACCCTGACTGGCCTGGAACTTACTGGGATGACCAGGCTGGCCTTGAACTTGCAGCGATCCTTCTGCCTTTGCCTCGTCAGTGCTGGGGTTATAGGCGTGTGTCAACAAGAACAACTAAAAAGGGAACTTTTTTTTGTTTGTTTGCTGATTGTTTTTTAACAGGGTCTCCCTAGTCATAGCCCGCCTAGATGTCACAATGTGAACCAGGGTGGCCTCAATCTCATAGAGATCTACCTGCCTCTGTCGCCCGAGGGCTGGGATTTAAAAAGGGAACTTTTTGAGACAGAGTCTTATGGAGCCCCACCTGGCCCTCAGTTTACTACGTTGCCAAAGATGGTCTTGAACTCCTGATCCTTCTGCCTCTACTTCTCCAGAGCTATGATTATAAGCAAGAGCCTGTATGTGGGCCTAGAAACCCACATCTTTTTAAAAAATATTTTATTTATTATTTTTATTTTACATGTATGAGTGTTATGCCTGCATGTAGGTAAGTGCACCCATGTTGTGCAATGCCCGCAGAGGTGAGAAGAGGCTGTCGGATCCCCTGGAATTGAGTTGTATACGGTTGTTAGCTGCCATGTGGGTGCTAGGATTTGAACCCGGGTCTTCTGTGAGAACAGTCAGTGTTCTTAACCGCTGAGCCATCTCTTCAGCCCCCAAAATCCACATCTTTTAATTATCTGTTCTTTGTGATACTGAGGACCTGAAGGCCCTGCACATTCTAGACAGATGCTCTTTTTAAAGGTTTTTGGTAAGCATACAAAGAAAAAGATTTCATTGTGGCATTTCAACATATGTATCATTGTGCTGAATTCTCAGCTTTCTTGTTTGTTTGTTTGTTTGCTCTGAGACAGGGCCTCACTCTGAAGCTCTGATCTGGAACTTGCTATGTAGACCAGTAGCCTTGAACTCGCTATGTAGACCAGGCTGGCCTTGAACTCACTGAGATCTGCCTTCTGAGTGCTGGGATTCTTATCCTCCACCCCACTAAGTGCTTTTCCATTGAGTTATAGCTCTTGGTTATTTTGAAACAGTTTCACAATGTATCCAGGCTAGCCTTGAGCTAGTGAGTCTCCTGCATCTACCTCCTAGGTGCTTGGATTATAGATGTGTGCCACCACACCCAGTCTGACAACTTCCCTTTCTTTTCCTTTTCTTTTTGCTAATATGGTACAATGGGGCTAACTCCTGGTTTGCTCCAACTCAGAAAATCCTTATTGCCAGGAGCTATGAGATTTCCCCAACACAGACGGAATAGAATGTCCTTGAGGACAGTGGTCCTATAGCCACATGACCCAGAGGGTAGGGGACCGAGAGGTACATGGTATTAGGATTTTTCAGCTACCGAAGACCCTTACCTTTCGTTACCCTTTTTGAAACAGGGTCCCCGGTTGCCCCAGCTGGCCTGGACTCACTATAGAGAGATCCACCTACCTCTGCCTCCTGAGTGCTGGGACTAAAGGTGTTCACACCATTCCTGGCCCAAAGGGCCTTCCCTTTGACAGTTGTTCACAGAAGGACAGCTATGCCTGTGGACAGTGCTTACATTATCTGGGTTCCTGGCTCTGTGTCCCTGGCTCTTCCGGCCATGTTCTCTAATTTAGTCTCAGGAGGGATAGCAGTTTAAAGAGGGGGAAATTGAAGCCAGAGAGGTCAAGAGGCTTATCTCCCTGGGGCACCAGGACTCAAGATAAAGTCTGTGTGACCACAGGTTTAGTGACTTGCTGTGGTTATTGTCACCACTGGCAAAGCCTTTGTGAAGTGTCCAAATAAGCCCAGAAAGATATCCATCCTAAGGCTTGCCAAAGAGAAAGACTCAGTCACCCTTTCAGTCCAGCTGCTGACATTTGAGAGACAACTGTCTCCAGAAATCCTGGGTGTTAACAACTGACCTGTGTTTTCTGTTACTTTCTCTAAGACTCTGCCCCTCAGTGTTTTCTTCTGTGACAGGGGAAAGAAAAGTTCTGGGGTCCTTTGCCACCTATAGATGAATCCCCCAGGTCTGGCAGTTGGGAGCACCTCTTGCCCCAGCCCTCCTCCTTGGCCTGTCCACCTCTGTGTACTCCTGCCTCCCTTTCCAGCTGCTGTCTCAGATCCTGAGCACCAGCATCAAGAACTCTCCATCTGTTCCTTAGTGTGACCTGGGCGTCTCACTGCAGCCCTCCTGCAAAAGAGCTGGCATGTCATTACTCCCCTGGGCTTTGATAAATGAGATGGTGGGACAATTACAGTCCCCTAGGACAGCACTTAAGACTGATGCTTGAGGTCCTCCCTGGGGCTCCATCAGAGTCTTAAAGTTCCCAGGGGATCCCAGTGGACTGTCAAGTAATCTCTAGCCCCTGACGCCCAGTTCTGGGATCTGTGCACTCATGAGCTCAATCAGGGAGAGTCACCTAGAGCGGGGTACTCGGGTTACCTGGAAGGGAAGCCACTAAGCCAAGCTGTTTGGCCCCAAATGGGAGAGGGATCAGAGCTTCTGCCATGATTCACAAAGGAAAATACTCTATCGCTGAGTCCCTGAATGAACTTGCTCTCCCTTCTCTCCTGGGCAGGTCTAGCACTCTCTGTTCAGGCAGGGCCTTCTGGGCTCCCACTTCTGCAGCAGCTTTAGATGAGGGAGCAGGGTGCCCTGTGCCCTGTCCCTGGTAGTCCTAACCTTTCCCAGATCATTTATAGATCTAGATTCCAGATAAATCACCTGTAAACAGGGTTTTACTATGAAACCAGTGACCATAGATTGAGATAGTCCTGCCTGGCTCCTACTTCCTGGCTTCTGCACTTCCCAATGCATGGCATGAAGCTGAGTCCCTCTCCTGGTCCTGCACAGGAAAGAAAGGGCTGATGGCATTGATGACCCCATCTCTCAGACTCACCCTGCCTGAAAGACAGGAGGAAAGCACCTGGCCTTGTGTGACTGCTGCTGCCAGGAGCCAAGTTCTTGGTATCTTGCTCTAAGCTTGTGTAAGATTCCTTCCTAGCCAGTGCTCAATGTCCTGCTTGTCAGTAGAGCAGATGGGTATTTTACAAAGTCAGTTTCTGCTGGCCACAATCTCATTCAGACAGGACTTTTTCTGTCCATGAAACAATAATGATAATGGGATTGGTGTTCCTTATAGCACATCTGGAAGTTCCTTTGGTGTGAGGTATGAGGTAAGGATCCATCCATATTTCTGCCCCACCGGTCTGGTGGTTGCCAGTACTGATAGAGTGAAACACTCTCCCAGTGACTGAAACACTACTTTCCCACAATCTCGTATTTGGAAGAAGCACATCTGGGGCTGTTTCTAGACTTTCTATTCTGTTCCATTCACTGTGGAGTGCTGGCATCCATGCACAGTTTTAATTTTTGCATCTTTGTAAAACTGCTTGCTACGTGGAGGTCAAGCCTCCCTTCAGTACTCCTCTTTGAAGAGCATTCCATCTGAAATTTAGGACGTTGTAGCAATATTCTCCGGGCGTGGTGGCACACACGTTTAATCCCAGCACTCAGGAGGCAGAGGCAGGTGGATCTTTGTGAGTTCAAGGCCAGCCTGGTCTACATAGCAAGTTCCAGGACAGCTGGGGCTACAGGGAGACCCTGTCTCAAAAAGACAAAAACAAAACAAACAAACCAAAAAAAAAAAAAAAACAACCCCAAAACCCCAATAGTGTTTTTGTTGAATTGCATTTCAATTTAGGAACTACTTTGAAGAGAAATAAGGGCTTTATGATCTTTCTTTTCAGGTTCATGAGTATCATTGCCTCAGGGTCCCTCTGCAGTGTGCAAAAGACCCTTTTTAACCCGGTCCTGCTGACATCTTTCCTCATCTGTTCCTTTTGTGCAGCTAGAAAAGCCTCAAACTGTCACTCCATAGGTCTTTGGGGTTCCTCCCTCCACTGCCCAAATTAGAATCCAGGGAGACTGGTGGCAAAGCCAGGAGATGAGAGTATGACAGAAGCCCTTCCTGAGCACTGAGCAGGCAGGGAAGGTGTGGCAGGGCTGCCTCAGCACCTCCTGGGTTGTGACTGACTTCCCATCAACTCCAAGGCTGCTCAGCCTCTAGACTCTAAACTACAGCAGAGGGCTTGGTTTCAGTCCCTCTGTCCAATCAGAGCGCTGTGTTCTCAAGTCACCCCCGACTCCCCTTTCTGTACAGTATCTCCCCCAAAGCTAATAATCTGCTCTGGCCCTTCTTAGGCTGGACATCTTATGAACACCTGCTGAATCTTCCCAGCCAAACTGTGGGGATTATTTCCTCCTTTTGATAGATGTCAGGCTGGAGGCTCAGAGAGGTTTGACAACTTGCCTCAGATCACAAAACTTTCCAGTGGCAGAGCTAAACTACAGAAGTCTGACTTCTCCAAGACCCCTAAGATCTAAAGTATTTTAAATGGGACAGAGAGACCCCAGATTTTTCACCTAGGCTCAGGAGGTACACTTATATTCCCAGAGTACAGCGGCACCACTCTGGTCACTTTACTGATAAGAAGAGGCCAGTGTAGACCACTCAGCCAACCTTGCCCAGGAGAGAAAGGGGCAGAACTGCTGCCAGTGTAAATCAGTGGGAGCCGCCAGGACCCCATCATCTTGGAACCTTATAACCTTGAGGAAGGTAGGAAAGTTTTTGACAACACTGAGATTCCCTTAAGAAGTCATCTCCTGCTGCCTGAGAGGGCAGGGGCTGCTCTTGGCCAGGGGTCTACCTATCTGGGACTAAGGCTCCCTGCAAAGGGGGGAAGGTGAAGGCAGTGAGGGCACTTCTCATGCAGGAGTCTCTGAAGACAAACTCAGGATGTCTCACTTTCTGTTCTGCTCTATTGTCCTGACCTAGGATTAGCCAGGGCCAAAGGGTGGATGGGTGAGGAGATGTCAGCTGTCCCTGTGAGCCTGCCCCCTGCCCTTCCAGTTAATGAGCTAAAATCAGATGCAACTGGACAGGATGGAAGGTGGCGGGGGGACTCTGGCACCACACAGGTGCATCTTTGTTTATTTGTTTACCTGGGACTGTAGTCCAGGCTGGCCTAGAATTTATGACTTAGCATCCCAAATGCTAGGATTACAGGCATGTGCCACCATATCAAGCTGGATGCAATCTTTAATCACCTCTATCACTGCTTCTGTAACTCAGTTTCCTCATCCAGAAGATTGGTGTACTAGGCTTAATAGCCAATGTTCTAAGCAGAAGAAAGCAAGACACGAGGCTTTCCCCACAAACCACAATTGAACACGTGTGTACACCCTTGCTGACACCTGCCTGTCCTGGTGGCATCTGACTCTCTCTAGGATGCCCCTGAAAGACTGACTTAAGCATGTGCAGTGAGTGTACTTGATCTGAGACCCCTGAATACCCAGAGGGGGTTTGCAACTAGTCCAAGACCATATATCCACAAGTTGAAAGGCTTGCTAGGCATGGGTGCTCCTCCCCCACACTTTTGTTTGCCCACCCCACTCACCCTTGGTGTGATGGGAAGGAAGTGACACTTCCTTTCATGAAAAGTCACTGACTAGGAACACTTCATCAATTACAACAATAATAGCTACAGCTTCTTCAATAACAACCAGCAGACACTGCCCCACCCCCTCGCCTGGGGTTGTTGGCTTAAATTTCTCTTAGCTCAAGCTGGAGAGGAAACAAAGACTGTCTTTGAAGCCGTTGCCTTGGCAGTCTCCTCCTGGGGCTAGCTCCAATGGGCAGTTTGGTGAGTGGGCCCTGCCAAGAGCCAGCCTCGAGGACAGACAAACTGGACAGGGAAGCCCAAGGACCAGGGCACAGCACCAGCCACAGCCTACCCTCAGTACCTCTGCCAAGGTGGGGAGGGGAGGGGCAGGCTCTGTGAGCCAGTGGGCTGGTATGCAAAGGCAGAGGGGCAAATGTGAGACTTCAGAGCCTCACCCAGGTGCAGGATGTCCCAAGAGAGCCTACTCCTGCGGGGACCGAGCCCCCATTGCCTCACCCCTCTGTCCATATCATGTTTGGTGATAAGTCAGAGCTCCATCTACGGATCCCTTCCACCCCACATCTATGAGAAGCCTTAGAAGAGTGACATGTCCAAGGTGCCACCAACTGTAGAGGCAGAACCCCTGCATGGGGCACTCCCCTACCTCTCTGGTTTTCCATTCTCCTCCTCAGCATGGAGCCTACTGTCCTGGCCCAGGAGGGAATGTGGACTATTCCAGATTAGTTCTCCACCCAGGGAAACAGGAGACCCCCAGGAAGAGAAAAAAAAAGCAAGGAGTCTTGGAGGCCTGTCCCTCACTCAGTGCCAGGCCTGAACTGGTCTCTATGCCTCAGTTCCTCCAACTGTAATAATAAACCACAGAGGGGCTGATCCTAAGGCCCATTCTGTCACTTCAAGTGCTAGCCCAGGCAGTTGGGACTCTGTAACTCTGCTGTGGAAATCAGACCCTCCGTCTCCCTCCCTCCTCTGCCATAGCATCGTAGGAACGGAGACCCCTAAATGTGTATCAGTTCTCAACACTGGGCCAGGGGTGGGGTAAGGTGCACCTGTTACTCTCTTCCACAGCCCAAGATTCCTAAACAGGGGAGGCTGGCCAGACCAGCACAACTTGGGATGTATTTGAGGCCTGGCCCATGCTGGGTTGGCCCCACTACTCCTGGGGGCCAGTGGAGGGCAGTATGACCCCAGCCCAAGGGTGACTCTAGATACTGTGGAAAGTTAAGAGATAGGGAGCCAGAGTTATGCTCTACAACCTTTGAGCACAAAGCCAAGCCTGTTTCTTGCGCGCTGGGCAACCTGCGCTTCTGCCCCTCTCTCCACCAATCACCCCTGCCCTGGGGTCACCATTCTGTCCTTCTGGAGAGCAGAGAGAGAGAGAGAGAGAGAGAGAGAGAGAGAGAGAGAGAGAG